ACATACAAAAATCAAAGTTTAACTTTTTTTATATATTTACTTATAAATTAAGAAATTGAGTAAGGTATAATACTAAAATTGAATTATAATCTACAGTTTGATACCAAACTTATTAACATAAATCCATGAAATAGTAGTTCAATAAAATTTTGAATACAAGTCAACAAAGTTGATGACATGGCCTCTCACCCATGACCCGTCTGGAAAGGGTTAAAGTACCTGCCCTCACATATCATGTTTCATTCCTCATGTCCATCATTTGGATGCCACAAAATGCTATCTTGGATTCATCTGTTATTTTCTGCAGATTTGGTGCAAAAGGCTCTTGAGAAACCATGGCTAGTATGTGTGTGTGTGTGTGTGTGTGTATAAAGGCCCTGATTAGATAGTAACCAGGATACATGTAGGTATAGCGTTTGACAAGTCTATTGTTTATTCCTAGGAACATTTTTAGTTTTCAAGAACCATGAAACTTTAATCAATGAAAGGGATTTAACACAATGTATTATGAAAGCTAAGTACATATTTAAAATGCATTTCATTTCAACATAAAAATATAATATTTTAATGCCTATTCCTGAGAGCCATCAATCATGTCTATATCATACAATGTTATATACTATAGAAAGAAATGGACAAATAATGATGACTTTTATTACCACCAATAAGTTCAAGCAAGTACTTTCATATTAAAGGTAATTTCAGTTTAAAACAGAAAAATTTGCCTTCATTATCAAGCAAAGGAGTTGATTTTTAGGCTAATTTATTTTACAGGGTAACTATTATCCTTCCTTTTTGCTTTGCCCTGAAACTTACACTTGGCATCCAATTGAAAAATGTACTCCAAAGCTAGACATCAGTAAATATTCCAGATTTGAAGAAGATGGGACTAAAGGTAATTCAGATCTTATTTTAGATAAATTTAAGATGGAAAGCAATTTCTTTTAATTCTTTCTGCACAGGCTCAGTCCCTTGATATCATTTTGTTCTTGTTATAGTTTCCTACTATAATTTTTAAATTAGTAAATATGTGTTCATGACATTTTGAAGATTATCAGTAAACATTACAAGGCTTTCATATGCAAAATATTCGATTTTTTTTTTTTTTT